TCTCTCCCTCTCTCTCTCGTATAAAATGTTGCTCTCTGGGGCATACTGCTTTATAATAACAGCTTGCCGACACAGTAGACATGTACCAGTGTTCTGTTGTCGTGAGTCAAGTCGCCATCGCCCATGAAGTCGTCAAAGTAAAACTCGTCCGCCCCGCCCGTTTGCGCCTTGGCCAAAATATCGTGAGTCATCTCCTCCTGCAGGGCTCCCCTCAACATCTGGTAGACGGTTTCCAGGGCCTGGGTGCATGAGACAAAGGTAGTTTTCGGTGACATTGTTATTCATTTACATGAAATGGGGAACGTGTTTACATGAAGTACGACACCCCCCCCCCCCCTAAAAAAAAAATAATAAAACCCAACAAACGCACTCGCCATGTTTTGATACAATAACACACATTCATAAACACATACACACATACAGGGCTAAGCAGCTTACGCCGTGTGTCCTATCGGAAAAGGTCGTATTTTATTTATATTTGTTTTGGAGGGGGGGGTGGTTATAAAATAGATTATCCAAGGGAATAAATAAAAAATTTGATTACTATGCGTATTTTTTGCTGCCAAAATGTTGCATTATGAAAGCATTTAAAATTCGAAGTTTTGGTGGGAAAATGTGAAAATCTGAATATTTTCTGTAATAGAATCCTACGAAATGAGACAATTAACGAATTCTGTAAAAACAGTGTCCATTAAGCAACCCTTACAAAATATCTCTCTTGGTTGCCCTGGAGTGATGATTCTAATATCTATTCAAGTTCTTCATTTTTACCTTTAATTACACTGAAGACATTAAATATGACAACAAACGTTGTAGCAGGGAGAATTCTTTAAAAAAGAGCAATTTCAGTAGCTCCTCCCCCCATCTTTGGAATGCCTCTGTGACTCTGCGCATACAAGATATCATCATCATCATCAGCATCATTGCCTTTCTCAGCCTGGATCAGGGTATAGGGAGCGAACAAACATTGTTGTTTTGTTTTAGTAAGAATTTTACGGCAATCGCAACACAATAAGGTCATATAAGTGCCGAAGATTAGACGTGTTACAAGAAAGTAACAAGCACAACAAAGAAGGAGGGGAGATAAAGATGATAGATGTTTGATAGGAAAGAAGAAGCAAACCACGCCAGAGCACCCGCCAACCGTTTCCTTGCATACAAGATATTGTCACTTATTAAAAACAATACCAAAAGCGCAATAATACAGATTTCTCTGCAATCACTGTTGGGTGCCATTTTGTGTGTATCTATACTCAAAGTAATAAACCATCTTGAAAGTAACATTCCTCGGTCTGATGAAGCTTGATGGTTGTTAAACAAGAGAGAGGGAGAGAGAGAGAGAGAGAGAGAGAGAGAGAGAGAGAGAGAGAGAGAGAGAGAGAGAGAGAGAGAGTGTTTGTGTAAGGTCGAGGTGGGTAATAAGCAACAACAACAACAACAACAACAAAAGAAAAAAAGAAATATGAAAAAACCCATAAAAGATGTTAAACATATCAAACAAGGAGCGTTGAAGTTTGAAAGTTAAACATCTTGGTGAATGATAAAGCCACAATCATTAAATAACCGATGAATCTCAAAATCAGTTTGAACAAAGCGCGAAACTCGCAGGGGTCAATTATTGTTCAGCACCCATTGGGGACTATAGTATGCATGCTGATCGCGTTACGCTTGACTAAACAGAAGTACATCAGCTCATTAAAAAGTCATTTAGGCAAGGGGAGTGAAGATGTAGGATTTACATGTGGTGCTTTAAATACAACCGCACACGTTCCCACATTATCATCAAAGTTGAATGTAGAACAAACACAGTATAGATCTAGATCATATAAACACTTGATAGTTTTAGTTTTAGATATCATGAAAAAAGGGTGGGGTGGCATTAAAATAAATAGAGTCTACCAATATAATATACACAATGTGGAAATAAAAATGAGGGGAAAAAGAACCTGGACGTTGATGGTATTAAAAAACAAACAAACAAACAAACTCTTGACATACGTGTGGGTTGTCGGGATAATAAAACGAAATGCAAAATAAACGAGCAAACTGAGACAAAAAGTAGACAAGAGTATAAAAATTGGCACAAATGTGTATCATTAGTCATAGGTTTCCCCCGTTGTATATTATATCATATGGAAATTTGGTAATTTATTTTATAAAATACCATACAGCAATTTGGTGGGTATTATTTTATTGTTGTCATTTATTTTATTTTATTCTAAAATTATCTTAGAGGGTAACACCATCTATCAGTACCTATGGTATATTCTTTTCCTTCTATTCCTTCCATATACATAGCAAGAGTCTAAGTAATGCAATTTACGTCCGTGTAGCAGTGTGCATACATTGTATTTGTTTTCCTATTTCTCCCAGAAACACGCTTAAAGGATAAGTAACTCGAAGTTCTATGTCTGTAAAGCTGTGTTCATATTTATTGTCCTATTTCTGCAAGATACGCGGTTACAACATAAGTAATTAAATATAATCTTCTACGTTTATGCGGTGAGCATTGTTGTTTTCTAATTTTTTTTGCAACCTGCCCGGCTGCAACATTGGTAATACAATAATAAATAATCATCTTTTTAGTTAAGCTGCTTGCACGTTATTACGCTGTGCGACTGGAAGCACAGATGCAGAGTGCCGTAAATTTTTCCTCACTCTTCTTCATGACCGCCAGTCCATCCTGGCAAGCTACACGTCGGTAGATGGTGACCGGACGTCGGACTTCCTGGCAGCCCATGGACGAGGCGTGCTGGCAGCACCTGCAGAGACAGCGTGCCTCCAGGATGTATCTGAGGGAGAGATGGGAGGAGAAAAGTATGGTGAGATGAGAGGTGAAATAAGCTGAGATGGTAGGTGAATTAAGGTGAGATGGTAGGTGAAATAAGCTGAGATGGGAGGTGAATTAAGGTGAGATGGTAGGTGAAATAAGCTGAGATGGGGGGTAAAATAAGGTGAGTTGATAAGTGAAATGAGGTGATTCCATCGCCCACAAGTGGGTGATTTGGTAATTCTCGTAGGGTGGAGGGGATCACCCGAGTAGAGAGACAGAGAGAGAGACAGAGAGATCACCCGAGTAGGAGGGACAGGCGTTATTTTCTACGCCATTTAGAAATACTTAATAAAACGGCAAACAAGAACTGGCTTAGGTCGTTCAGTTCAAGGCGAGTTACATGGTGTAAGGTGAAAAGAAAAGAAAGAAAAGAAAACTAGGTGAACTAAGATGCTGTATGGTAAGATGGGGGAGAAATGAGGTAGAATGACAGAACATGAATTGAGTTCAGATGATGATTCTGTACGGTGTAGGGTGAGAAAAGGTTAAAGGTGGTGGGCTGAAATTATGTGAAGTGATGTGAAAGAGAGCAGGCTCAGGTGAGATGATGTGATGTTAGGTGACGTAAGGTGTTGTTGGGTTAAGGTCAAATTGAATCTGGACAGGTGAGATCGTGTTATTAGTTAAGAGAATGGTGTTAGATGAGATGACACAGAATGATCTGATGTAAGATGAAATAAAGAGAGGTAAGATTGTGTGGGCTGCGATCGGATTAAATGAGATGAGGTGAAGTGAGGCAAATTTGGCTGAAGTAAGTATATTCTCAAGATAACAATTTCAAGCCTCCAGAATAAAACAATAGGAATAAATATATACATGAATAAATAAATGAATACAGAAAGAAAGAAAGTTCGAAAGAAAGAAAGAAACAAGAAAAGAAAGGAAGAAAGAAAGTTTGAAGATAAGGAAAAAAAAAGAAAAAGCAAGAAAGTAAGAAAGCCCAAAAAATAACAAAATGGGGAAAAATAGACATTTCAAAAACAGAGCCGAAAAGCAGAGAACAACCCCCCCCCCCCCCCCTCAAAAAAAAAAAAAAACCGGTGCAAAATCACACCTGGGAAAGGCGTCCTCTCCAAAATCCTTCTCTCTCAGCACCCAGGGACAGGTGGCCCTCAGATTGTCGTTGGTATTTCTGTCTGGGTGGGTCTTGGAGGACTTGCACGTCATCTCGGACCGGTCATCTCTGAGCGGCAGGACGTGCTCCGAAGGGTTAATCGCCGATTTCAGAATGAGACTCTCGTTGAGGTAGGATTGTAGGTCGCTGATGAAAGCTGGCAACGTCGCTGGAAGTTCACAGCCACTCTGCGAGATGTCACGGGTGGCTCGGATACTCCCCGGTAGTGATGATGATGATGATGATGATGATGATGTCGCTCTGCGAACTTTACGTCCAGCCTTCAAAAGCCCAAACCACGGTGAGTGGCGTCCGCCTTTCTTTGTAGGAGGTTGACTGTGCGAACCTGAAGGTCGACTTTCGACCCCCGAGTTGATGAGGAAGATGGCGATAAGGGCAGCGACGAATGAGGACAAGATTATCGACTTCATGATGATGGTGGTGCTATTATGTTTTCCTCTTTTTCTCCCGTTGTTTCACTTTTTCTTGGTGCTAATGGCTTCCCTCTTTTTCTCCAAATGTCCTTCCAAAAGACGGTAGTTCAATCACTTTTTTTTCTTGCTAATGGCTTCCCTCTTTTTCTCCAAATGTCCTTCAAAAAGACGGTAGTTCAACTTTAATGGGCTTATTTTTTCCTTTGTTACAGATGTCTTTAAAACTTGGGAGTCTAGTACTTGGTCAATCGATGTTTGCTTGCAATTCTTTTTCTGACTCTGTAATGAGATGGAGAGAGAGAATAAACAATACATTTTCTGTTTCATTGAATATTATAGTTAATTTAATGTTTGCAGAGTGATCTTATATCGAATAGGAAAATTAGACTAAAGCTTATTTGACTGATGAATTATTCAAAAGCGACATACTATATATATCTTAGTAATGTTATTTTAATTGTTTTCGAATGAATAAATAGCACAACATTTGAATGACTCAAAATGTATATCTTCAGTAGTAGTATTAGTAGCAGAATCACATGGGTAGTTTCTTAAGGTGGTTCGGAAAAAGTACATTTCGACCCTCATTCTTTTGCATCAAGTCAGGGAGACCCAAATGTCGTCAAGCCGAGAATAAAACCCCCGAATAAACGAATTATGTCAAGTTGCTTCAGAAACAGGGTTATCTTTTATCAGCTGTTTGACACTGGAGACCTTATGTTATGCTTTCGCTACATTTTTTTGTGAAAGTTTACATCATGGGAAGCAATCCATAAGGTAAACAAAAATTTATTGTCCGGGCATATTTTATAGAGCCTGCTAAATAGAGCTATCGTTCAAAAAGAACAACGAATATGTACAAACATTCTGATTTTTTTTAGGTGGCTTTTTTTCCTTTAATAATGCCAAAATGCCACTTGGCTGTATTTTTAGAATGAACATTTTCAGCGCATGATATTGTTAACGAAAGTGCACTATTCGATTAGTTTCCTGACTGCTTTCTTAAAAGTGCAGACATCAATTGCGGGG